ACCGTGAAGAAGAGCTTCGCGTCATGAAAGGGGATGTTTGGGATCAGGCAGACCTCCTTTCGTCAGGCATTCACACTGCGAAGGCGTGGACTATCGTAGCATTGATGCGGAGATGACCATGCCGGCATCTGTCTACCCAGAAACTTAATATGCATATTTACGTACCCAGCTTGGTGAAAAGGCCTTCTGTGGTACATGCGTTGTATGTATAGCACACGTTATCATATGTCATAAATGCAGCTGCTTCGATTGGTGTAGTCATAATGGGTACGAAAAGACAAAGAAAGATGGCAATCAAACGAGGTGATCTTCGTGAATCATGGTCAGGTTGGAACTTTGGTTTGACCTTGGTTTTGATCTCGTACCTGAGAAAGAAATACAGAGTTTAACTCCCTATTATCAAAAGCCCTTGCACATGATGTTACACGATCCTTCAGGTCGTCTTGGTGAGAACGTTTAACTTGACCAGCAATCAAGATGGCGACCGCCGCCGTCTTATATTCTGAGAAATACCCAACGTTGCACCGGTAAGATTTTTTGGCCAAACTAATTTGACTTTCCTAGCTTCATAGAACAAATCTCCCTGAAAATGCATATAGTAACTGACAATGCAGACACTCAAATAGGGGGTATAATGGTGGCAACTCGACTACTGGAGAATCCAAAAATAATTTTTAGTTGTAAATTAAAATGATGGGTCTTGTTACAAAATTATCTAAAGGTTGCAACACGAATGATATGCATTTATTGCCTCCCTTTTAGCTTGCTGGTACGCGAATGGTATCCCTTAACAACTTCCCAGATGTGATCGTATGCACATTACTTTTTAAAAACACGGAAAACGACAAAAAGTCTAGAACTCCGAAACGGTAGCTCTGACTGATCTAGTTTTCAGAATTGTATTCAGAGCTGGAGAAAACTTACAGACAAAATTTCGTCAAAAGGCCGGAGGACTGGGTGTCAAGAGTGGCCGGTCATGGGTTGCGTTGGCATGTGTCCGAGTCGCTGCCAGACTGCCGTATTAACATCACCACTGTAGCGGATGCGCTGACTCACTTGTAGTACTCCAACTAGCCGAGAGGTACCTTATCAGCCGATTCGTGAAACTGACCCAAATGTCGTTAAGTTTGCCTGTTTTGATCCTTTCTCGTGGTGCTCTAGTATATTTGTCCGCGGTTTCATATGTTGCACGTGCACATGCTCGGTCAGGGTGTTTTTTCTTAATCTGTTTGACTGCCAGCCTCATTTCCACCATAAACGGTAGCGCTGCCCACATTCCTGTATTTTGTAGCACATTAAGTGGTTTGTGTTCGAAACTTGCACTTCAGGGAAAAAGCCCACATTGAAGAAAGTGAAGCAATCATCAGATATTATAAAGTAAGACCACTTACAACTATTCGCACGCTTTTAAGAAGAAAAGATTGCATTTAACAACATAAATGCTCTATTTAGTAGACATGCTCCTCAATGTGTCATTGTTTGATAGCGTCATCGTGGCCCGCACAGCATTAATTGACAGCCAACTGACGGCCGTTATGTCTGGAAATCGTGCCCCCGAGCGCGAGATATGAACAACTCGAACATGATATTTTCTTGGCCTTGATCACCGCAGGACCAATGGAATGACAAGATTTAAAGGACACTCTTATGGCGCCATAAATACCTGGGTGACTTTGAAACCATAGCGGTCTCAAAGTCGTCAAAACTCATAGCTCGGAACTGTAGGAAATTGTTTAGAACATGACCATTTGACGTCCTTGTGCAAATGTGGAACAATCCGTTTTTGCGTGGTGTACGTACACGAGGGCGTACACACCATGTTGCCAACTAAGTAGAGACTCGTCGTGTATTTTATGTGTCAGCACCTCACTTCGGCCGTACGTGCACATGGATTCGTCTGGCGAGTAATGCATACCTTTTGCTTTTTCAGCGCTTCCTAACTAATGTTTAACGTCTCCTCTGCTATCTATTTCTGTCACGCCCGGCGGAACCCTGTATGTTCGCTGCTCGTGTTCTCTCTGTTGCGTCTTCTTGGCAGACGCCAGTGTCACCCGACACCACCAGGCTGACGTCCAGATGTGTCTTGGTGGCGGCCTGCCCCAGCCGGAGGCCACACGGCGGCCAGCGCTTCAGGGAAACCCGGGAGGGAGGGGGGGGGGAAGGGGGGGGGGCAGTTAGCCCCCTGTCCGGTTCGCTGTCCCCATTCCTGTTTCGTGTTCGCGTCTTCGTCTACGTTGTTTTTATGTTAGTTCGTTTTAATTTACCGTCCTCATGATCTTCCCTCTGGCTGTAAAGCATCGCAAGAAGTTAATATAAAGTTAAATCCTCTTGGTGTTTGGTACGCAACACCACGCTAGGCAAACCAACGGTAAGTCGACACGCAGCAATGAAGTACAGTGCAACAAATCGCAACTTTCAACTATCAATTTTAGCAAGGCAGGTAAAGACAATGCAAATCTCAAGATCTTAGAATCGCTGCACGTGTTCGTAATCTTTGTCCGAGGCTGAGTACACCAACCCTTTCCTGGGACCTGGTTTCAGTAACATTGTTTAGTTTATGCAAGATTATGAATAGCCTTACGTTCGTTGTGACAAGCACGGATGCCCGCTTACAAAGTGCTTTCCATCCTGATACCCGATACGGATCATTGAAACCTTTCGGCTTAGCTGTGCGCTTCGTACAGAATTGGCGTATAGCTATCTATTGGGTATTAAGATGCGTGAGCTCGGATGGATGTGTTTTTTTCTTATCTTCTACCGGTCGTTTCTATACAGATTCGGAGTGTTTTTTGGAGTTGTCTGCCTCAGTTTTCAAATGCAATTCTATGTCGACATCACTCGATGCTTATCATTTGTGAGCAACACAGTTAAAGTGACATTAAAATTAGTTAAGCCATCTCAATCAAAATAAAAATATCATCATAGAGCTGAATTGAAATAAAATGACCGGGAACTCCACATCACGTTAAGCTTTCCAGATTATTTCGGATTTTTAAGTACCACAATATTCCCCAGCGTACGTACTAACGTCCAAGAAAAAGGTCTGGCCTCTCAATGTCACCCCTACAGGTCAAACGACGGAGATCTTGGTTTCACCAAAAAGTTGCGGCAGATTTTGGATTATTAATGATCATAATCGTCTTCAGCGCATAAATTTGCGTCCGTCAACAAAGTTAAGGAGTTGTTACGCATGCTATAGAGTTACTTCATAACATATTTTTCTAAGCCCAACTCCATATCCAAATGTTACGGCCGATCTCAGATTTGTAAGCATCGTCCGTCAAAAAATCTTGACCTCTCAAGGTCACCCTTGAAGGCGGAATCCAGACATAAATGACGGGAACTCTCTCTACAACTTTTGGGTGAAATGGAATTCCGCGCCATTTGACCGTGAAGGATAAGCTTAAGTGGTCAGAACTTTTTACGGACGCTGGTTCGTGTACCGGTGAGTATTATTTAAAATCCGAGATTGTCCGTAACTTTTAAGTGATATGGAGTTCCAAGTCGCTTGAGTTTACTTTTCACGTTTAATGTCACGTTATATTGAAATAATATAGGTCAAGTTCGGTGTTCTCATCCTCCAGTTGACTCACTCAGGCGTTTGTAGCTAAATCCAAACTAGTTGCTAAATAAATAGCTTAATAAATCGCTAACTTCACAGACGGTGCGTGCTCGGACAGCTGTCATTTCTTTTCAACGGCACGATCTCTCTCTCTCTCTGTCTCTCTCTCCCTTTCACACACACGCACACACACACGCACACACACACACACACACACACACACACACACACACACACACACACACACACACACACACACACACACACACACACACACACACACACACACACACACGTACACACGCACGCCCGCACGCACGAGCGCACGCACGCACGCACACGCACACGCACGCACAACACACACACACACATGCATATATATATATACATATATATATATATATATATATATATATATATATATATATATATTCGTTTACTTAGACAGTATGCTTTTATCAATGCAAATTTTGTTATACGCAAGGGCAAATGCACTTTTAATCAGTTTCTTGTGCCTTTGTCCTATTGCTCGAATCAAACCCCTCGTGTTTTCGATTAGTCATAAATCATCTCGCCTATACCCATGTATACATACATACAAACACACACACACATATATATATATATATATATATATATATATATATATATATATATATGCTCACTCTCTCATTCTCATACCTGTTCTCCAGACTCTGAGGTGACAGGTGAGGCGCGATCCCGTAGCGTTGCACGTAACATTAGATCACCGCCTGCTTGCTGCGCCGTCGCAATGGCTCTTTGAAAAACGCCCGGCGACGCCATACCGAAACACAACCGGATGTGGCCAGTTGCGTAATTGGCAATCATGCACCTTTGTCAGAGACGTGTGCATCCATCCACGCTAATGACACGTGGGTGGGCCATGGTGTGGGACCAGCTAGAGTATCCGGGAGTCACGGCCGTCACCCACGCCCGTTCTTTGATCGAGAGACGTGCAGCCTGCGCAAAAGGTACGCCTACGCGGCATGGCTGCATGTCGCCGTGCTGGATGGCGAAGTTATCACGGTACCCGTCGAGGGCATTTATGAATGTTTGGAATGCGCAAGTTCAAGCTGGAGGACTCGGGGCGGTACCATCAAGCGCTCCGAGCACTGAGCCACTCCGCCCGCCCCGCTCACGAAGGCTGCCGGCGCGAGGCGCGGCTACGCGACGGGGAGCGGTGCTGTCAGCCCTGGTTCCTGGCCGTCAGCCGTGGGGCACGTCACCGCCGGACACCGCCCCGGCTCTGCGACAGCGTCACTGCACCGCACTGCGCTGCCTTCTAATAATGACTGGTTGGCGCGCTCCAGGCATGCCAACGCGTGGGGACTATGCTCTTATAAAGGAGTGACGTGCTGTTGTGAAGAAGCCGGTAAACAAAGCCACACAGTATTTTCATAGAGCGCGGTAAGACAACGATGGGATCTATACTGTATTCTCAAGTGTGTGCCCGCTTGACAAAGGCTATGCCAAGACCTCACAAATTAAACCAACACCGCTGTGTCAATCAATATGTGTAAACAAAACTACGGCTGCAACGGGTACTCTTTCGGCCGTGCTCTGCACATAATGTTACTGGCCGAATAACAAAGCCAGGCGTTGGTTACAACAACCTAAAAACGCGATGGAAGTATACTTCGCCAACGGCCAGAGCTGTTCACCGAGAACAACGGTAAGCGCCGCAATATCAACACATCTTAAACCGACACTGCTTCTACTCCAAGGCTTCTATCCACCTTCTTAACAGCCAATGACAGCTTCCGACTTGACATCCACTGGCACCACATGTCTTTGGTGGTACTCTACCAACGGGTGTTATTTCGGGGCATATATCATGCCCGTTATGCACGGTTTCATTTTCTTCTCGCGCAAACACGTTGTCCACTGAAGCTCAGCTCCGGTGTCCTTCAAGGCTCAATGATCTCACCTGTAACAGACACACATACACACATACATCAGACAGTGAGACACCGCCGTCCAGCTTGGGTGGTCCGGCCACAAAACCACAACTTGAACACATTGTATGGTCCATTGTACGTGGCTATCAGCCTTCAGTTGACTACAGGCCGACAGTTTGGCAGTGCAGATGGCGCTGGGGTCAACGTCATCACGTTTCGAGGCGCTTTTGAACCCCAGAGAAACCACAAACCCTCAAAGCCTCAAGAAGACTAAAAAGGTCTCAGACCGGATTCAGATTCGCAGCAACACACCGTGGATCATGTCTCCTTCCCGAGACCTGACAAGACTAGACCAGACCAGACCCGGAACAGCAGACCGCGCCAAACCCCAGTGGCCAGACAGGCGGTGCCGCCCGCCTCACCCTGCGTGTAGGCGGTGTCCGTGTTGGGCGGCGTGGTGAGGTCTGGCTGGGCGGGAGCGACCGGCGTCACCGGCTCGGGCGCGGCCGGGGCCGGCTCGCCGTCAGCGCCCTCTGTCTCCGCCGCTGCCGCCTCGTCCGGCTGCGACGTCTCCGGCTCGGCCGTCTTCAGACAGCGCTGTAGGCGGATCTTGTTCTTGCGCGTGGTCTGCGGCCAGGAGAGTCTGGTCAGGCGGCGCGAGCGAGCCCGTGCACCGGCCGATACCGGCTGCTGCCTCTGGCTATCTGGGAAGAAAGACGCACTGGGAAGCCGTGAGCGCTGGCACGCCGATTTGACCTCTAACGCTGCTGACCATTTTGAGTTGTTGCTGAAACATGCTTGCAACTAGCCCGACCCTTCTGTTTGTCGTCAGCACGCACGGTCCAAGCAGTCACGGTCGAAACAATCCTGATGGCCAGGTTCACAACTGCCGGAAGCAGTGGACGCTGAATCTCACCTCTCCGTCGATGACCGACACGTAGGAGTAGAACCGGGTACCGACGATCTGGTGGCCGTCGGCCTCCACGAACTTGAGCAGGTCCTTGGCCTCCTCACTCGAACCCAGCTCAGTCCGCAGACACTGTGGATGCGCCAGCTGGTCAGCGATGGTGGGCACGTCATCCCCAGCGCCATCTGTTAGCCATCGTACCAAGTTGGTGTACCATGGAGCGCCACCGTCACGATAGCGCTCGTAATGGCGCGCTCGCGGCTCGGCAGCGGTAGGTTGACATGTTATCATGACCACGAACAGTACGTCTCTTCAAAATCGTGCATGAAGGTGCACGAGCCGGCGTTATGTGACAGCTATGAGCCGGCTAAAGCGTGAATGTGCAAGCACCGCGTGAGTGTAGCGCGCTTTAAGTAAAAACAGCGCACGGCACGCAAGCCGTGCTGTCCGCTGGTGTACAAATCAAACAACGCTCGCCGTCGAGCCATTACTCGATTGGAGACAGGGTGCTGCACGGCCCGACCCTAAATGGACTTGCCTGCTTGAAGTCAACAGTGCCGTACTGACAGTCTCTGGCTTTGTTGAACTGCTCCCTGGGCAGCTCGAACGACTCCGACACGCAGTTCTCGTAGTCCACGTCTGTGGCGCAAACAACGGGTTGATGTCGACAGCCTCTGATGAGCGGACCTCTTGATGCGCATGCAGTGCACGTTTAGGGAGAAGGTTTCAAGGATGAAATGACTCAAAGATATATGAATCTGGACAGGATTAGTCGACGAACACGCTTGACTGTAGCAAAACAACCATTAAGTAGCAAAACCGTTGGGCACAACGTAATATTTCATATCACTGGGACCTGCGAAACCAGAGGTACGGGGTTCGATTCCCCGCGGTGCCCGTCTTCATTGCCAGATTGGGAAGCAGGCAATGTCATATAACTTCAGCAGCTGAGTGCGTCGTGAATTCCAAGTCCAAGTGCGTCCAACAACGACGGTTACAACAGGACACGATGCCTCCTACTCAAGCTTTGCTGTTTCACTGAGAATGAAATGTAATACTTGCTCGTTATTACATATATTTAGCGCATTGTTTGATGTATTGCTGCTATGGAGCTGCTTACTGGTCCCTTCCTCCGATCCGCCGAAGTTAGGGAATGTGGGGAACAGGTCACTGGTGTCCTGGAAGAACGGCTTGAAAGCATTTCCAAAGTCCAGGAACGGGTTTTGCTGCGAGAAGAAGTCAGGGAGCTGGAACGCTGGTCGTCCAGATCCTCCTGAAAATCCAAAATAATATCGTCCAGTCGCTTGGAGACCACAACGACAGCATGACGTCAAAGCAAAACTATCCAAGCTCCCAATGTCCGAAGGAAAGCAACGTGACAAACCTGACCATCAGCCATTAAAGCATCTCAAAAAAGCACTGTCATTCCACCTACAGAGTCAAAACCCTCTAAACATTGCTTGCTATCATTGCTTGCGTCACAATCAACGCATTTCCCTGTTCATATCTGGTATCTAGTGGCATATATCCCTTCGCCGGCGACATCACAGTGGAGTGGTTGTGGTGGCGAGATGCGGCTTTTACTTCGTTCGGAGGGGCACCGCCTGTCCCTCCGCCCTGCCCGGGTCTCGGAGCCCCGGTCGCCGCGGTCTCGCGAGGCTGTCACGGTATATCGCCCGACACAGCGAGATACGGCACACACGACACAGGCAGCGGCCGGCGCGCAGTGACGCAATTGCTGCAGAGCTTTCGGGCCGCGGGTGGAAAGCCCCAGGCGTGATCAGGTCACAGCGCTAGCGAAGCATGTACGCAATTCGCACGCAAATGAGCACCAGTATCCGGTGCACATTAGGCAAATATTGCGGAGCGATATTCAAAACAACAGCGCGCGCCGGCTGCATCAGGTAGTTAAGCCGACCTCCGTGGCACATTCCTCAGTCCTCCCTTTGTTCAGCAAGATTTGAATGTCTGACAGGGGTATCTCAGGGTCGACCCCCCCCCCCCCCGACCCCCTCAGAGAGAAGCTCGGGGTCCCGTCCCCATGCGGGCCTCGGTTCCGTCACCAGCTGCCGACCGACACTACGGGCGTCTCAATGCCACGGCGGACCACGAGCCACACGTGCACCGTGAGAGCGGCGTTAACTGTCAACAGTCACCGGCTGGTACAACAGGGTTGAGCTGTTCACCTGGCGTGTGCGTCACGTGACGTGCGACAGGTGCCTCCCACTTTGCCCTCCCACCACACCCATGGCGCTATCCGGCCTGGGAGGCGTCGGCGCTGGAGAACCCCGCATACCGCGTGGGCCGGAGCGGATGGAGTGCTGTATGCACGCTACCAGCGCCGCAGGATGCGTCGGACAATGGTAGTGTCACGCAGTGGGCCAGTGAAAAGCGCCGTTCGAGAGCGGCGATCCGGGCGGCATACGTTTGCCACTCAATAAATCAAACGAGAACCGGCTCGGACTACGGGAATACCCGCTGCTGCCGCGACCCCGCATTCCACACGCGTCCTGGCAATGGGCGAAGCGCGCGAGTGTGGTGCATGGCACGGTAATTGCTGTCCCCGCCGACTACGTCCGATGTGACTAATGGTGGAGGTACCCGGTGTATAGAACAGTCGTCGGCTTCCGCCAGCCTGCGTGGGCCTCGCACGCTTGTCCCCTTTCCGAGCACTCCAAGCCCGAAGCGCTCCCTTCGTGGATCGTAAAAGGGTCCATGTCGACCGAGTGTTCGCGCAGAGACGCTCTGCGGCCTGAGGCAGGAGGCCGACAGGACAGCGTCACAGCCGGCGGCGGTCCGTGCCGCCACTCACCGAAGAGCGCAGTGGTATCGAACGCCGGGAACGGCACACCGCCGGCGCCCGACGACGGCTCCTCGGGCTCGGCGGCCACCTCCACCGTGTTCTGCTCGTCGTCCGGACACAGGCGGAATGTCACCCTCCGCTTGCGGGCGATCTGGAACGACACGGGACCGGTGAGACGCGCCGACGGCCCCCGGCGGCCACCTCGAGGGAGGATATGAGCTTCAGACGTGGCCACCGCGGACCCGACGATCCATTCGGTGTGACGTGCATCAACGTTATCGACCGCCCGCGGTGATGGCAGCGTAACGGTACGCGCGTTATTATTTTGCCCTGTTCAGTATGTACAAGTCATAGATTCTAGAGTGAGCGTTATGCGGTATGCAGAAGTCATCTTTCCACATCCACATGCTAGGCTCCTTTTCTTTATGCAGTATGTGCTGCTCGCGAATTAAGATGATACAACGCACACAGAAAACAGGAAACGACAGCGCACCAAGCGTATTCCAAGCCCCCGGTGTGCGAGCGTTCTGGGCCCTGGCACCTGCCCACCGCAGCCTCTCCCGTCCGACCGCCCCGTCAAACCGGTGGGGGAGCGCGTCATCCGACGGCACACGCACCTCTCCGTCGAGGATCACGATGGAGAAGGACGAGCTGATGCCGGCCAGGCTGTACTGAAACACGCCACGTCAAATTAATGCACCGGAGCGAATGGGTTCGCCACTGATTGCAACATCGCTTGCCGAGCAAAACAAGTCGTAAAACGAAACAAGCCCAGCATTCCTCCCCCGTGATGTGAATCGGAGCCAGCAGCCGACCGTGTCCATGCCGACTTCAGGATATTTGCCGCACGGCAGGCAAGCAGAGCAGGCACGTCTGATTCACAGCGGCGTTCCGAGCGTTCTGCTCCCACACTGCAGCGATGCAGCACCGGCAAATGTCGCCATTCCAGGAACACGTCGGCGGGAGCCACGCAATAGCTGGCTGGAGCCTGCCCTGCCGCCTGCTTTCAGAGCCAGGTACGTCCCAGCCCTGACCATGGTTGCCGCTCAGCCGCGACTCCGCCGGATGCTGCGCTGCGCAGTACCAGCTCCGCCGCGCCATCCGGCGACGTTCGTGACGCCGTGCGTGTCCGGCGCCACCGGAACGATGCGTTGGTGTGATCGCGAGGTGGCCCACTGATGGCTCATTACCGCCGACCGGAAGTGCGCGGTATTGCCACCGCGCCCCGGGCCCAGGGGTGTGGCCGGCGCCGGTTGGCAGCGGGATACCGTGACGTTTGCAGGGTGTGAGGCGGCGCGGGAGCCGAACCGCCGGGACAGCTGGGTCAACGCCATCCGCCACGGAGACGACTGGGCTGGCTGATTGGCGCTGCTACCAGTGCCGGCTAGAACTGTCGGAACCCTAAGTAGGAGTGACCCCCGCCACCAGCGCCGGCCAGGACTGTCAGAACCCTAAGTAGGAGTGACTCCCGCCACCAGTCCTGGGCAGGACTGTCAGAACCCTAAGTAGGAGTGAGCCCCGCCACCAGCGCCCGCCAGGACCGTCAGAACCCTGAGTAGGAGTGACCCTCGCCACCAGCGCCGGCCAGGACTGTCAGAACCCTGAATAGGAGTGACCCCCGCCACCAGCACCGGGCAGGACCGTTGGAACCCTGAGCAACTGGCTTACATAGATCACAAACCCCTGACAGAGCTGGTGACATCTCTTGGAAAAAGCAATTAGGGCGCCCCTGCGGGAGAGGAATCTCTAGGCCCATCTAAGAGTGCTTTGGAAAGGGCCCACCCCCACAGCTAGCTGACGTCATCTGATCACTGCAGTGGTTAGCGTTTCTGCCTGCTACCGAGGGGCGCGTATTTAGGCCTGTCGCTTTCGTACGCCACATGCGCCAGGCATGAGTTTCACTGTCTCGGCCCAGCGGCGCATTGTTCTTCGTGTTGGGGGGGAGGGGTAGGCGAGGCGGATCCCGGGTGTCACGGTTCCCCCCGCTACTGAGTACCGCGCATGGCACAGCAGCACGCAGCGCCGCATTCCAAGCAGCAGGAGCTACCGACGCGGTCAGGTGCCATAGCTCCCTGGACCGAGACGCCGTGTCGTGACGAAATGGAAGAATGGAAGCCAGTCCGTTGAGAGGACCATAGAAGGGATCGTACGCACACCAAGTCTTACCAGATCCAGTTCCGGGGAAGCACGAAACCGCGGCACCAGGTCCGGCTCCGGGTGGCACTAGACCGCGGTACCAGATCCGGCTCTGGGGTGGCACTGTACCGCGGCACCAGGTCCGACTCCGGGGTGGCACTAGACCGCGGCGCCAGATCCGTCTCCGGGGTGGCACTAGACCGCGGCACCAGACCCGGCTACGGGGTGGCACTAAATCGCGGCACCAGATCCGGCTACGGGGTGGCACTATACCGCAACACCAGATCAGGCTCAGGGTTGGCACGAGACCGCGACACCACATCCGGATCCGGGGTGGCACTATACCGCAGCGCCAGATCCGGCTCCGGGGTGGCACTATACCGCGGCACCAGATTCGGCTCCGGGGTGGCAGTATACCGCAGCACCAGATCCGGCTCCGGGGTGGCAGTATATCGTGGCACCAGATCCGGCTCCGGGGTGGCACTATACCGCAGCACCAGATTCGGCTCCGGGGTGGCAGTATATCGCGGCACCAGATCCGGCTCAGGGGTGGCACTAGACCGCGGCGTGGTGGAACATTCAAATTACCTCATCCCTGTTTAAGAACTCCTTCAGCTCTTTGGACTCGTCCGGCAGGGCGTTGACAATACACTGAAATAGACGGTCGGCAGTCAGCCGTGGTGAATGACACATTACATACAAACCCCGCAGCCTGTCCAACACAACCCGGCACGGCCCACTTTTCGCCGCTTGTCAGCACGCGAGAACCAATAGAAACCACCGCGCATGCCTACTTTAATAGACCGGTAATATATTTCCGGGCAGAGAGTGGGGAGAGGGGGGAGCGTCACCACCAGCGGTGGTATTCGGCGCTAAATGGGTCGGCGATAACGGCCGGAAGTCGATCGTTGCGGTGGTCCGGTCCGGGTCAGGACAGTTCGTCGCCGTACACTGGCGGCGAGTCGCAGATGCAGGGATGCAGGAGCACCCACGGGCTGGTGGCGCAGTTTTACGCGAGCGCATACACATTGGTCAGGAATGTTTTAAATGACTAGGAAATTCGGATTGCATCCGAGTCCTATGCAGATGACCCCATTGCTTGACGTCTAGGAATCATATTGATGATACGACTGTTTCGGGTACAAAACGGGATTATGGAACTGGATGCTGACAAATACGTTTGATGGGTGCGTTAACTTTTCCACTCAGGCAAGAATCAGATATACTTGTGTATATTCTGAGCCAGCCATCGGGGATTACTTCACAGGCAGCCCTCGTGGTGCCCACCCTTCCTACCAGAATGAAAGGCAGACGACGCCATAAAGCCTCAGTAGCTGAGTGGGTCATACGGCCCCAATGGCGTGCCTGCATACCATTTGCACAAATGGTCACGTAACAGGTTGCTTGGTTGGAAAACATGAATGTCGTGATGGCTTTGCAAACAACTGTAATTGGGCAACTGCAACTGCAAAAACAAGAAACTACTTATAAACTGTGACTGAACTGTTGGTGTAAACTGTTATTGGAAACTGCCTCTGTAAACTGTAACTGTGCACGATAATGGTAAAATGTGGCTGTACACTGTAACTGTTATCTTTAATTGCAAACTGTAGGTGAAAATATCGCTGCACACTATAACTGTAAACTGTAAGCAGTCATAGGCTACAGTTTTAGGCTGTTGCAGCCTGCTGTAAAGTCGCAGATAATGTACAGCCACCTGCAGAATTAATGCACGACCGGCCGGCCTCGGCGCGGATCAGCACAGCTGACCTGTTTGAGCTCGCTGTTTTCGTCGCTGCTCCTCTGGCAGTCCATCACCAGGCTGTACTCTTCATCGCTCAGCTGGAAGTGGCCTCGGTCACAGTTGGGGTTTGAGGACGGAAACAGGCCCGGAAAGCCTGAAATGTGCACGTGGCCTGCGTGACGAGGGGGACGCTGAAACAAGACCAGCTCCGACGCAGCTCCGGTGGAGGCTCGGGAGGTGCGCCGGAACTGACACAGCATCTTTCAGGGCATCTAAGACATCTAGGGGCAAGGACATCTAACTGACATGTTTCTCGACGCGCTTAATTCGGCTTGCCAAGACTATAAAACGGCTCAGCAAGACGGAAAATCGTGGGAACACTCCCCACAAGCGACCCTCTGTAGACACTCCACTCGTTACTCTTCACGAAAGATCTGTCATCAGCGAAAGGCGAAGGCCAAACAAAGCGGGGAAGAGGCGGGGGACAGCTGGTACCGCCGGCGAGGGAGCCGGGTCTGGCGCGGACCCGTGGGAAAACTGTCATCTGAGTGAGGCCTGCGACGAAAGGCGAGGGGCGATAAAGTATCCCCTGCATGCGGCGGGCGCTTCCCGGCAGTTACAAGGCGCGCGGGGTGCACGCCACGTGTGGAGGACGCCGTTATAGCGCACAGGATAGCTGTGCGATCCGTTAGGCTGAGCTCCAGAAACATTGGTACAGGCCCTGGATACTTCGGACTCACGATACCCTGGATGTTCGACGAAATGCTCCTGCTGCCTGCCGCGAAAATCTACGATGACATGCTGGGAAATACTCCCGACATGTACTGATCCAAACTAAATCAGCAGCTTGTGGCAGAGACAGCAGGCGTGCCACGAGTTTCTCACCTGCACCTCCGCCCAGGCCGAGGCCGCGCAGGAGGTCACGGTAGCTGATCCGCGGCCTCGGCTCGTAGCCCAAGCCGGACTGACCGCCGCCTCCCGTGGACACCCTCCTCGGCTGCACCAGGTCCACCTCGGTGTTGAGAGGCGCTGCAACGGACCGGCCAGGGCTCGGCTCAGCTCAGCTCGGCTCAGATCAGCTCAGCTCGGCTCAGCTCGGCTCAGCTCAGCTCAGCTCAGCCCAGCTCAGCTCAGCTCGGCTCAGCTCAGCTCAGCTCAGCGGTCAGGCTGGGCACCGTTGTTGGACTCTTCCATGCAGGACATGGGCCAGTCAGGGCGGTCCAGATGTGACAGACGACTGAAGTGAATGGGTGAATGGGTGAATCCGGGGATGGTTGAACCCGGGGAGCTCGTGCAACTATGCGTCACGTGCATACGCCAGGCGAAATTATGTCACCTATCCTTAGATCCATAAAGCAAGATTACCAGCTTCGCATATCAAAACTACATAAACAAAAAGGAGACAATCTGATTTCACCTGAGCTCACCTTTCTCCAGTTATTGATCAATAGGACGTGTCGGTTGAACTACGCGGTCTACGAGTCCATACAACACAAATAAAAGCTGCGCAGATTATGAGTCCAGGCCCTAATCCTTAACACACATACACCATACAGACTGCAGAATCCATTAAAGGGTGTGGGATCTGAGTACAGCAGTCAAGAATGGTTTCTTTGGAAACAGTAACGGGAGCCAGGGAGCCGAGCTAACCACAGTCAGTGGCTGCTCGCCGTGCCGGGGTCGCGCGCTGCGGGGCGGTAGGGGGAGGGTCGCGCCGGGTCACGCGCCGGCGGGCCGCCTCAAGGCTGCCGTAGGCCCGAACGGAGACGAACGTGAGGTGACGTGACGGGCAGGCACGGCTGAACCGGCGGCGGGGCCTGGCGAGGGTCGGACACAGCTGGAGGCCCAGCCCGACCGGCATCGGAGGCAGGGGCGGCGGGCCCTGGAGAGGGTCGGACACAGCTGGAGGCCCAGCCTGACCAGGATCAGAGGCAAGGGCGGCGGGGCCTGGCGAGGGTCGGACACAGCGGGAGGCCCAGCCTGACCAGGATCAGAGGCAGGGGTGGCGGGGCCTGGAGAGGGTTAGACATAGCGGGAGGCCCAGCCCGACCGGGATCGAGGGCAGGGGCGGCGGGGTCAGGCGAAGCTTCTGAGGCAGGATGACACGTGTTGATGGAGGCTCCCAGGCAGCCGGCGTGTCGACGCCTGACATGACCTCCAGCACAGCTTAGGGCGGAGCGTGACGGAGCTGAGGCGCCAGACTGGATTTAGTTCGGTTTGGACCACGAACACTCCGACGTGCTACCGCTGACGACGATGAGCCGCGTGGGTAACGGCGGTTTGGGCTTTGACGAGGTGGGAGGGGAGACGAGGGGGAGAAAGGGCGTGATGCCTGCCTCGTTTTCAAAGATGGGAGGCGACTGTTTCACTGCACTATCGACGCCTACGCCGTTTCTCGCTGAGGCTTCACGGGGCCTCTGAGACTCAATACTACCTTTTCAATATAGGAATGGGGAAACTTGACACAAGGTCTCTAAGACACGGGTGGATCATGGATCAGGTAATGTAACTCGTTACAACTTACAACATACAACTTGGCCTTATGAAAGCAACGTCGGGGGAGGGGAGGGAGACGGATACACAGATACAATACTAACACAATGTAGTGGTCCCGGCAGATACTGTAATGACATGGAAGTGGCCTGGACAACCATGACGTTTTATTCGCAAGTACGTTTGAGAAATAACAGTCACTATACAGGCTCAGCACTACGCACACATGTCAGCAGGCCCAGCTCTAGCAGCAGCTGCAGCAGTCAGAACCCTACAGTGTGTGCAAGGGCTCGCAAAGTCGGCACCGTGCCGTCGTGCCATCTCAGGCACGCTGAGCGTGCAGGCACTCACCGGCGTAGGCGCCGAGCGCAGCGAGCGCGATCACCAGCAGGGTCCTCATGTTGTGTGCTGTTCCGGGGGCGGGCGGGCTCTGACTGACGGTGCCCGCCGGCCGAGCTCCGCCGTCGGCTTGGCCGGGCCCGGCGCCGCTCCAGAACGGTCGGCGCCGCCCGCCAGTGACTCACGCGCCTGCGCCCAGAGGACACGCCGACCTCCAGGGCACCTCCCGTCTCCGGCGGAAGCCGGCCGAGCGCGGCACGTGAGCGTGACGGGCAGAGCAGCGAACACGCCTGCGGTTACACCTGACCGACTGTGCCCGGAACCATGGGTGTAACCCCTGGGGGTGTGGGCTGTCCCCAAATTGCACAACATGGGATTTTGTTTCCTCCAATTTTGCCCGGTGAATACTTTTCGCCCCGTTTTCTTATTAAACATGTCATCAGGTCGGGCTGGCCACATAGTCTTCATTTTCGTCCCCTAATCCGAATTGCTCTCCTTTTCTCCGATAGATGGTTACACCCATGCCTGGGGTGTGTTGCGCCCCGGCGGTCCTCGGGCGCGCCTGTACGCACGCGTCAGTGGACTGGCAGGCCGGACCGCTCCATCAGCCTGGTAGGAGATGAAGTGAGTCGTGTACGTACTGCTGCTGGCGCCCGTTCACTAGGCACACCCGCTCGCTGAGGCTCTGAATATTGGTGATTGACTGGGTGTTTTACAGCGTACGTTGGATATAAGGGAGAGTAGGGGGTGTTGAATCCGTTTTTACTCTTACTTTTCTCCTGTTATATCTAGTGAGAATAAGTCTAAGATTTTTATATAAAAGCGTAGCCATAACCCTCACCTTAAAATGCTGCGGCACACTTTAAGAAAGCACGGCTTCGTTTGTTGACAAATTACTTCTGAATTACCTCTCTCAAATGAGACGGTTTCCCCCACCCTGGGGTAAATTCTCTCACGTTATGGAAAGCTGTGTTTATGTTGCTTTTGTCGTAAAGTAGGCTGCATCGCAAGCAAGCTGGATGTGAGACGACATGCAGACAAAATGCGCCCGTCTGTGCTATTTTGTAACTCGTCGTGATTGCCGCATGACACAGTTTTGCCATTTGTTCATCAACCAGCGCTCGCCTTACGAATACTGCCACCTCGGTTTCAGTTGCCCAAATAGAGATCACGGGTGTACAAAGGTAATGTAATTGTCGACTTGTTTTTTGCGCGCCAATGAATCATGGCAATCATGTCAGTCAATCACTGCCAGGAAGCCAGACACTCATATATCGTTGGTACATTGTGCCACGGATACAACATGCCCCATGCACAGCTGATAAAACATTTTGGAAGAAAGTTCGTGCCACCCCAAAATCCTTGGGACGCAGACGCCACACGTTTTACAGTAGATACAACAAATACATTTCCCTGTCACTCAGTATAGCACTCAGGTTGGTCGAGTCATGCTGTAAGCTCCTAAACACCCATTTACACCGATCGCTATCGTTTTCCCGAGACCTGTACACGTATGCGGCCGGAAGTACACTGAAAGGTGGACATAGCTTCTGTGTGTCAGTTTAGCGATTCAAGAATGCCATCAATCGCTTAGACACTACTTGGACATGATACAACTCACCCTAATCTCTCCTACAACGCATCGTGGCGTGACATCCAGTGTGTTTTGGCGTTGATTTACGCTGTGTAGTTTAAACCATGTTTGACCCTCGCCCTGATTCGCAGACTTTCAGAACGTGGACTAATAGGGATGGGGTGATGATGCGCCCCCCCCCCCCCCGCCCCCCCCCCCCCACAGCACGAGAGTTAAATCGGGAGTGCCACCCCAAGTCCAAACTTAAATGTGGAAAAGATGTATGTGGATCGGCGAGCCAGACACAGAATTCGGACATTTTTTTCAAAAAGGGCTACCTTAGCGTAAGCTTTTGATACGACTCTGTCCCATCTAGCAGTTCTATCCATTACTCCATGCTATTACTACGTGTTGACATTTCTTACTTTACAACATTTATATTGGCTCTATTCACCTACGACCAAAGTATTGCTAGGCACAGTTTTAACCGAATTGATTTCATAATAGCCACCCAGTCTGCTGAAAAAATCAATCAACATAAAAGGCGAAGCCACAGCTCGCTAGCCATGCACTATTTCATTGCAAAGGGCATTCAACTATTACCTCAATGAGGTAATCGGCACAGCAGATGTCATGTAGCATTCGCTCCCAGCGCGACATCATTTGTACTGATCCATGGCTGGGAAAGTATCTGTTAAAGTGGGTGTGCCACATCTATGTTTGGTGGGGAGCTGAAATCACAATTTTGAAGAACTATCGGTACTTTCCACGGCGCTATCGATACTGTCCGCGGCGCTATCGGTGCTGTTCTTCTTATGACCTAAGCTCCTCTAGTTTCTGAGCTACACGCCCGCAGGCATGAAGAAATGTATACTGGGTGGAGTTTCAGGCAGTTTTTCAGTCACTTGGCATTCATGACGGCATAATAACGTCATCCAAATCCTGCCATTCCATATACTATGCAACGGTCAAGGCCAAGAAACAGATACTTGTCGAGGCGTTCATGGCAGGCGTTGGTGAGCACGATTTCTAGATATAACGGCGGTCAATTGGCTCCCAACCAACGTTGTGCAAGACACTATGACGTAATCAAACCATGATGCATTGATGAGCATATTTGCTAAACAGAGAATTGTGCTGTCTAGGCAGCGTTTTCCACTTAGAAAGCATGCCAATAAATATAATTGAGCTTGTTTCATATCTGCTGCTTGCTGCAATATCTAAAATGTCAAACATTCCCTTTAAGGTGTATCAATACTTGCTTAAACGCACACGAATACAGGGCCGTGTCTTTGTAGACCATATGTCGCTGGCGCCCACTGAACCAAACGAGCACCTCGACAAACGAGCTTCCCAGGAGGGGCAAACGGGCACTTCGGACAAACCTCATGTGAGGGAGTAAAGGCGCATGCGCACGGATGACATCAAGCGCTACATTGTGGAATGGCCGCGGGAAACCGGCAGAAGAGCCTTCAAAACAGTATCAGCTGCGTCAGTGTCAACGAGATCACAATGAAACGAGTGGTGAATCAGCTTGGCAATTCGGACGGGTGTGCTGCGGATGGGTACCGCACTGCGTCGTTCAGCAGCAGAAGACTGCACGCGTGGACACTGCCCGGGTGGTGCTCGATCAGTACGAGTATGGCTGCCAACGATTCCTGGACTCAATAAGCACTGTTGATGAAAACTTGAGCAGCCCTTCGAGCCGCTGAAAAAAAAGAGCGTAAAGAATGGACGGAAGCCGGCGAGAGGGTCTCAACTCAGCTGAGGCTCGGGCGTATGACTGACTTCATGCGTCCTGGGTGTTTTTTTTACGCTGACGGCATCATCAATATCGTATTTCTTCCCAGGGGTGAGCTTTTCAACTCCGCGAGGTGCGTACCATCGCCGAAGGAGATGCTGGGTGCCGTAACTAAGAACGACCGCCCAAGCGAGGTCACAAGTTCCACCTCCACGCACGACAGCGCCCAGTCTATCACGTCGCAGGAGACGGCTATGTTTTTGAGATGCGCCGTCTCCACAATCACGCATGTTCTAGCACAAACCCTCTACACCGCACCCTACTCGCTTGACCTGGCCCCGCCGGCTTTTCCAGTTCCCGAAAGCAAAAACAGCACAGGATGGAAAGCACCGCCGAGGAGGCAGAGCAGGTGGTGCTTCGCGTGCTAGGATGCACCAGTGCAGCAGAGGTTGGTGCGTCCATCAGGGACTGGCGGAACGACTTGGTGTGCACGGCTTGCCGGTGAGTACATTGAGCGTTAAGGTAGGTTTTCCTGTGAAATATTTGTCGGATGTCAAAAATATTTTTGTCCCAAAAACTGTCAATCGCCCTCAGTACAATGACAGATTTCGTTGCATAATACAACTCAAGGAGTTAGTGTTTTGGTTAGTGTCGTCACAGCATCTTGACAACAAGGGCTTTATGGCGTCATTTTGGGTGAAGTAAGATGCAAATGCTAGAACGTTCATCCTGCGCATACAAATCAAGTTTTGATGGGACACATCGGTTCCTGTAGTACACAACGTGCCAGTTTGTGAGGCATATTCCCAATTTACCGTTCGTGCATGCCAGTCAGCTATATGACCAGTATTTTTGGCCTTTATTTCTGTGAACGACAGCGACTGTACTTACATCGTCTAGTATGTCTGGGCACCTAACGAAGCAATAGGCATCTCCCCTCCCAGCGGTGACCTTGCGCGCTCCAAGCCTTTGAGGCCTAAGCACATACAAGGGATCATAAATTGCAGATCAAAGTGAAAACTGCAATGCCATGTTCAGCAGCTGATCGGAGTGAGTGCACTTCACTGAGCTAGTCATACTCTTAAAGGTAGTGTTCCGCCTTTGGAGCATATCGATAAAAAAACATACTTCAGTTAAACCTCACGCCTAATAAGTCCAATAATAGCACCGGGCACTGCCACTGCGGCGCCGTCAAGGCATAACAAGGATATCAAATATACTTATTGCGCACCTTCCATGCAGTCCTGACCACGGTCTCCATGACGACCACCGTGCGCACCACTACTGGTGCAAATGAAATAACGTTTGTGATTGGCCCGGTCGGCAAGAGCTTCTTGCCGAGGACCACATCGGCTGAAGTTTGAGCCAGTCCGTCGCATGGATCGTATGATACTCCCATTCCCAAAGGGCAAAATGCGCCTCGAGAGGGTCACTGTGTTTACCGCCATGGGGGAAGAAATCATAATCATAGCATAACGTTTCGTTGAATTCGCGGGATAACAGCTTCTTCTTCGCATATCTATTCGTCTAATCAGAGTGTTTCAAGCTTTGGAAGCATCTATTACACAAGCAGCTGGGCACATAGGTGTGTCGCAAACATCACAGACCACACAAAAAAAGCAAGGCAAAGAAAAAGCAAGGCAAAGAAAATGCACCACTTTCATAGTGGTAAGCAGGGAGTCAAACGAGATCCCTCCCGCAAGTTCGGCTACCTCAAACCAACATTCTGATTTATTCAGAAGCATCTGAAGAAAACTCGCATTACTGATCAACTCGTACGCGCCTGATGTAAGAATGAGTGAATAGTACAAAA